TTTTCTTCAAATAGTAACTTTTATTTGAATAGAGACTTTAAAACAGTAAATAACAAGTAACACCAGTGACGAAGTCAGTGTCATAAAGCATTCATCTAGTTTAATAGTAAAAATTGACATGTTGCACATAGTTATTACAGTAGACATGTCGATCGCGTGAAATGTCGTCCGACTGATACATTATATATAATGTTTTTTAGTTTTTTGCTTTTAATATTAAGTTTTCTTTTGCAGAGAATATGTGGATTTTCTATCGAGTTTATAATATTTTGGTGAATTTCAAGTTTCACGATTCCTAATAAATTGTATAAATCAATATGAATCTTTTTATATCATAATTGATCAGTAATGTTGGAAACTATTCTATCAGTATCTGTTACTAAACTCAGCTCTTTTACTTTTTCATATGTAATATTTGAACACTGTCCGCCTGAATCATAGATCCCTTTTGTATCCTTGCCATTGATCATTCCTGATATTGTTAATTTTTTCATGTGACTTTTAGACACTGGCTCTGCCATTAATTCTATTACTGGAGCGATATTATCTTCTATTAATGTTTCAGCATTTTGTGGATTTTAATGAACTGATTCAGGGGTATTATTTTCAACCATTGGATTAAAAATTAATTTTTATGTATCTTTAGACACTAGCTCTGCTATTAGTATACAGTAAAAAAAATCAGAAATAAATATACTGTAATGATAAAAATGCCATAATGAAAAGATTAACTATCTTATTCTAGACATGGACACTGATCGGAAAAATTCATGTAATTGTTTAGGAGAGACATTTGGGAATAATGGAAGTCCCTCTCCGGTAATCCAAATTTTCTTTACCCATTTTACCAAATTTTTGTAATATCACACTTGGGACATCTTCTAAGGGATCATGAAATTTCTCAAACTTTTGGAGATATGTTCTGCTATTTCTTGATTAGTATAACCGACAATACCAAGTTCTTCCTGAATTGCCATTATATCCTCTTCTAAATATAAAAACAAATTATATAATTTCGAAAGTGATAAATCAGTAGAAACTTTATTGCTTTGATTTATAACAGTGTTATACCACTCCACTTCCAGAATGGGATTGTTTATCAATGTCAAGATTTTCCACCAAATGTAATACCTAATATATATATAATATTTAATAAAACACAAGAAATTAAAACAGCAATAGTAGATGGCGGTGATGCAAAGCATCGAGACTTTGACTCTTCAGATATTAATTTTATTCCAGTATCAATGATATCAAGCCCAAACTATGAACAGAAATATAAAAAGCTCTCTAAACAATCAATGATATGGAGAAAAAACAAAAAACTACTAATAATTATTTAGAATATTTAGAGGGCGTTATAGATGAAAAAAAAGCAAGAGAAATTCATAGTAGGTGTTCTAAAAAGAAGAAAAAAAGTAAAAAAAGTTTAGATGAGAAAATTCACACTAAATGAATTTGATTCAGAAATCTCGTATTACTCATTAAAATGAATTGTTATTGATAACATGCTGCTTCGATAATACCTACATGTTTTTTCATGTGACCTAATTTTTCAGGTATACCCTATTGTATTTTTTTTATTTTTAAATTCACATGCCAGTACGTCCCCCCTGCGGTCGCATTTTACTTAGTCGAAAATCATTTCGTCGACACCCATTTCGTCGAAAGTTCATTTCGTCGAATGTTCATTTCATCGAAAATTATTTCATCCTCGAGCCAGAGACCGAACGAGTTAGATGTGAGGGTGTGGGAAGTTAGTTAAGAAATCAGATGAGGAAAGCGGAGTGTGTGGGAAGTGTGACGAAATGAACATTCGACGAAATGAATTTTCGATGAAACAAATTTTCGACGAAACAAACTTTCGACGAAATGGGTGTCGACGAAATGACTGTCGACGAAATGGGTGTCGACGAAATTAATCAGACCCGTTCTTAGAAAATATATGTCCACAGAAATTTCATATGGACGATGTGCTAAACGTCATTGGTATAAAGGGTTGACTCTCACTCATTTAAAACATCAACTATATTGTTTTAAGCATTCATGTATTAGAAAACATTTCGTTTGTGGTATTTTGTATGTGAAATTGAAATTATGTGAAATTGAATAATATTACGGAGTGGGGTGAAATTCTGATTGGCTAATTTGAATTTCACGTACAAAACAGGTAAATTCTGCAAAAATAATACAGCATGCATCTTTACCGGCCAGGTAGTAAGTTTATGAAACATGCACAAGATCGGTATTATCAAAATGCAAATAAATCCCAGAATGTATTTTAAGAAATTGGTAAAAATAAATTAATTGTTTAATTGTATAGTAAAATGAAATGATTAAATTATGGTAAAGGTAATATGAAATATAACATCATGATTTAGATAGAAATTCCTTAGTAAAGAAATAAGAAAGGGGAATATTACTAGGATAGCTCTTCAATATGCCAGTTATCTATACTACCAGTAAATTTCCATTCGTAATCCCGGTCATTTGTGAATGGTCCACGATTTTTATCTTGTTCACTTGAAGCCTCGACAGAGAATGAAAGGTTAAAACTTGTTACATCATCAAACACTTCAACACTAAAACCGTGGCGAGCGTATGAAGCCCCACTGTTCCTTTCATTTTCATTTATCATGACTGCAAGCTTGCCATATGTACCTGGCCACATTTTGTTATGGACCCAAATTGTATGAGTACCTGTATAGTAAACATAGAGTTGTTAGAACATACAATTAATTTTTTTCCAAAGTGTGATCTTTTAAAAAGTATTTACTTTCAATGAGTGGCACAAGTGTTAGGCCAATCGTTAGATTAAAGATAATGGCAATGATTAGGTTGAATTTCATGATGAGTAATATTTGATTATAAAAATTTTTACTTTTTTTCTTGTTCTCGAGGTATATATATTGGGTTCTGATTAATAATTCAGATATGAACACGGGGAAAATCGGTCCATTCTAAAATTCTTTCATGGGAAAAAATTCCCAACCCTTTTGTTTGTATGGGCGTATTAAATGAGCCAAAGTTCATAATTATATGACTTTTTAAAATAACTCTATTAGCCTTGTTCACTCGCAAGCTCGTGTTCGGATTTATATAGTCAACTATTTTTTGTTGTATATATTTGACTGAAAATGAGCGAAACAAATTTGCAGTGGCAATAGATCCACACACGGATAAAATATCAAACTTATCGCCATATACTGTACAGTCAGTATGTTTCAAAAAAAAGACGCCAAAATGTAAATTTATTTTAAAAATTTTCACATGACAAAAAACGATTGGGTAACCTGTTTGGATGATAATATATACATGTTTATTACATGGTGTTTGCAACAGGACAATGATCCAATACACACATCACATGTTACAAAAACCTTCATTTTTGAAAAAAGGATTTGCATAATAGACTGGCCATCCAACAGTCCTGAACTTAATTCCATTGAAAATATGTGGTATATCATAAAAAATGTTGAAAAAAGGACGCCAAGGAATGTTGATGAATTGAGAGATTTATGGTTGAAGAATTCCTCGGGAAACAATCAAAAATATTATTATGTCTATGAAACAGAAATGTGAGTTGGTTTTAGAAAAAAAAACAATGGTATAATTTCTTATTGATTTTTTTTATTTAATAAAATATTTGGTAAGCTTTCAAATGAATCTGATTTTGTTTATCATCTACCTTGCATAATTGTTGAGATATGTGATTTTTGTGCGCGCCATTTTTTTTTTTTTGAAACACACTGTATTTCTTTTGCAATTAACTTTTCTTTATATTCATCGATTTGTTTTTTAATTTCAGTTTAGAAGACATGTTATATAATATTAAATTTATAGAGGCATAGCCTCATTGTTCCGCAATAATAAATGAACAAAAAATTTGAATCAAAAACTATATATAACTAACATTGCTAAGTCACGAAATAATCGATCATCCATCTATTGGAACCAATACACGGATCGCCAATAACACATTGTATAATATAGTAGTTGTAATATACTGTATATTCGCACTTGCCAGAAATTTTTTTTTTGTCTGAGATCGCCCGTAGAGTAGAGAGCAGTAAATCACATGTAGTAGTGATATTATACGTGACTTGGATCAACAAATCAGAATACATATATTACATGTTAGAATGGCAAAATAGACAAGTAAACCTCAGAATAGCGGAGCTTGTGTCTTTGACACATAAAAAAATCTTGACATATGACGACAGAGTCGTAGATTAAAAATAGGGGTAATTCTTAATGACCAGAATGTTTAAAAGAATCAACGTAATATCCGAATATCATGAATATCATGAATATCATGAATATCATGAATATCATGAATATCATGAATATCATGAATATCATGAATATCATTATATTATATGTGTAACGAAGACAATATTTATGATTTATTAATAAAAATAATACAAACAATAGAATGAATAGAGAATTATTAAACAAATATTAAATGGTTTAATTGAATACATTAATATTAATTTCTCATGAATTTCGTTTTAAGAAAATAATTTTGGAAACAAAATCAGGTGACAATCTATTTCTACTAGGTGTTATATGATTTCCCACATCGGAAAATAAACGTTCTGAAGGAACTGATGTTGCAACTCATGCAAAGATATTTTCTTGCTAGTTTTGACATAATAGGCAACTCATTTCTTCTCTCATTCCACCATAGAAAAGGGTAGTGTTTGTATTCATTCGGATATCATCCGAATATCAATCATGTGACTGATATTCGAACATCATGTTGATCCTTTTATGAATATCGAATATCATGAATACAAACACTAGAAAAGGGTCGACAGTTCTTGATGCTGTTGGTAAATTAAAATATTTTTCAAATTCACCTTGTTCCTGCTCGAATTGTTGCAAATTATTAAATAAGTCATCAAAAACGTTATTTTGACCACTGAAACTAGTTCTTAATGGCAACCTTACACTTCTTGGTTGAATAGGAACTGCACTTGTTGCTTTTATCAAATAAAGAAAATAAAGACAACGTTTTTATTAAGCCCTTGACGCAGGTAAAAGCCCTTGATGTAAGTAAAAACACTTTACATAGTAAAAACGTTTGATACTAGCAGTAATAATGATAAAGTTCTAAATTATGTGTCCCGGGATGAATAAAGAATTATTACATCATTGTATGTATGTATATTGCAATGATACTAATACTACTTATTTGTTATTCCGTATATTTTCTTCCGAGATAAAAATGCTTCTTCATTTTTAAAGCTATTCTTTTATTATTACATAGGTATGAGTTGGGTTGAATTGATGTTTTTTCGAATTTTTGACTTTTGAAATTAACTATGCGTAATAGTAATACACAATAATATTGATAATGTGCTTGAGCCGTCTTTAGTGTCACAGTTTGAAACAACATAGGTTGATCAATGTTGGTATTTAGAACGACCTTTACATAGCACATAAGACAGGTTTCTGTACATATTTTTTGTAAGTTTTAATTTTGTTTCTATTTTTATCATTTTTAAATCTTCAAAAGAATGCTGAAATTCTTTTATTGTTGATCTTGATGATGATGAAGTTGTTCCTTAAATAATGCAATTTTCGCTTTTCAATTTACACCCTTGTCAATTAATCCTGTTGGAGGAAAACTCAAAGGCAATCAAAAAAATGTTGACGAAAAAAATGTAACAGTGAATTTCGTGAAATACAGTAGCGCGATGATATTCTGACGTCATGGCATTATAAAATCACACGACTCAATCACATACATATATATATATATTCGTTCAGAGCTTCAAAATTAGCACTGGATGCGAAGCATCTTAGCATCCTATCATGTATTCATGATCAATGATGTAATCTTTAATAAAAATATTCGAGAGGTGAATTGGCTTGTTTGTTTATTTATTTTTATTTATTCATCCCAGATCAAAGGTCAATTTGAGCGATTAGATTTTTTTTTTCAAATTTTTTGCTACTTTACAAATTTCGATTGTTAAAAAAATCAACTAAGCTTCTTTTTTCTTGATTTAAAAAAAAAGAGATCCTTTGCAAAGAAGAATCCTCGTGTGAATCAAAAGTGACTTGCACAATCAATTATTAGAGAATTTGAACCAGCGACCAAAGTAAATATTTTTTGATCAACATTAGTAAAGGGAATATCATGTTGATTGTGACGTCATTAAGAGGCTTCATAATTGCAGAAGAGTCTCAACTAAACCTATAATGTTATTATAGTCAAATTCATCAATGATTTTGGTGATTTCATAGCCGTGAAAACTATGATTAAATTACACTCTAAAAATTATAGGTGGGCTACACGATAACTAGAACTTAAAAGGTATCAAAGCTTTCAGATACATGGATTAATAATATTATTTTATGTATCGATGGATTATTTCGAGTTACATACCTAATATCATAAGCAACTTCACCTGACTAAAGCAAGCATTTTATTATCCGTTTTTTCCTAGCTGAATTATCCATGGAAGCTATTATTCTCGTACTGGCTCCCTATCTCAAGCAAAGGCTATTTTTGGAGTAGCATTAAAACATTTGAAGAATAAAAAAAAAAAGATTCTCTTAATTTCATTTGTTGAATTTATTATGAAAAAAAAAGAAAGAATGATCATAACGACATGATCGGGTTAACGATAAACTTCGACCTTTACAAGATACCATATATTATAGAAACAGAAGACTCAGTGAAAGATATATGAAATTAAAACTTTGAGTGGTCTTAAGAGCATAGGCAATGATCGAGTAACGAGACTTCGCAATTGGGAAAATGATCAATTTGGAACAACAAGCAAGTTCACTCGCCATTATTAATTCATTGCAGTGGAATATGATGATTCTTCGTCTTGGGTTTTTACAAATGTGCTGATTGTAAATTCGTCCAATTTTCACTTTTTGAAGAATAGTGGACAATTTATATTCTTATGAAATTGTTGAACTTTTGAACTTCTTGAGGCATTTATACTTTATTTCCAGATTTTTGTAGCCAAATAAAACAAATAATAAGTTTTTAAGAAGAATGGAAAAATTGTGTTTCCATTTAATTATAGGTAACCTCGATAAGTCGGTCACGAATGGCTGGACATGATAGGCCGACTTATCAAGAGTGCGTGACTTAATGTCAACCATCTTTTATTTATAACTATTAAAATCAGGGCTGGAAATAGGGTCTGAAAAAAACGGGAATTTCTCCTGGATGCTAAATTTTCCGAATTTTTAAAGTACTATTTCCAGTCCTGATTAAAATCAATAGAGTAATGATAAAATAATAAATGAATAAATAAATAGTACTTTCCCAAATTTTTATTCTATTTTTTCTTGTAAGATTTTTTATTTTCCAAATTTCCAAAAATAAAAAAAAACCCCAAGATTTATTTATTGTTCAAACCTCTAATAAAACAAAAATTTAAAATCATAAGACTTATTTGTTTTCCAAACTTTCAAAAATAACTAGACTGTTGCTGTGCCACCAAGTTAATTTTCAAAAATGACCAAAATTATATTCCACATGATTTTTGTGTTTATTTATCTGTCATTCATAATGATAATGATAATATTTATTCAATTGTTTTATTAGGAAAGTCGTAATTATTACATTAATATATTTATTCTTTAAAAATAAACATTGCAATTTTATCAGGATTTTCGCGGCCAAATTCCTCGTGAACATAGCAAAGGAATAAAATAATTTTTCGAGAGAATCTCTTTGTTACATTAAGCCAGAGACATATTCTATCAGTTTACGAATTAAATTTTCAAAATATAAAGTAGTTTTGAGTTCTATGCTTTTAAAATTTGCACAATACCTTCTCATGTTGCGAATATCACGTGAGACTGGCTTGTTGAGAGTAATTTACTATAGTTAGAGCAGACTTCAGCTTATATTAATATGGGTTGGCTGAATTTATCAAGAGATTTCAAATATAAAAAGAAAGGGCAAAAAATTTTGACCGAGTTAGGCCAAAACCGACTTGTCAAGGTTACCTACTACTACTAATTTGTGCCAGCATTACAATAAGATTATAGTATTAATTTCCGGCCAAAATTTAAGGCGTCAAATTTATAAAACGTTACAACTCAGGTTGTTCAATGGCTCTCGTCAAATGATTTGACCTGTAACAATTTTAAGAAGACCAATTTTTGGTTTTTATTTTTTTATGACACGTACTGCATTATTTTTCCTTATTTTTTTTTTAAAGGTCTCATTTTTTCACAATAGTTAAAAGTATTATGGAAGATAATAGTGACACGGGTTGGTTTTCTTAAAGAATGCATCGTTGTCGTCACCTGAATCACAAATAATACCAGATTGAAATCACAATCGATTTGGTAACGAGAGATCGGAAATGTTTTTCAAAAAAATCAATGTTGGTGCCTTTATTAGAAAATGAATGGTAAATGAAATTGATCTTTGGATTGAGAATATTGATATGAAGTAGGTGGATGTTTCTTGGTGATGACTTGTTGTGATTATATATTTTGTAAGACAGATCAAAGTAGTGATAGATGTACCATTGACTAACTAACACAATACTATTATTCAACGATTTTCTGTCTAGGAAGAAACCAGTCGATATTTTCATCAGATGTTGTTGAGTGCGTTTATAACGATAAAAAATTAAATGTAAAAACGATCCAAGATATTGTTTTATGCTCTTTATTTAAAAACGATCCATTGACTTCAGTTTGTCGCTTATGGAGCCGATTTTAAAAATCGATTGAATGAATGAAAATAATGTGTATAATCATTCCAAGCGTATGTACGTATGGATGGGTAGGTTGATGGGTGAGTGGGTAATATTTCTTACCTCAGTGATTAGTATGTTGTGCATAGTTGTCAGACAATCTGAAAAATATACAATTGATGTAATATATTTATAATGTAAATGTATCGCGCAATTAAGATTTTTTTTTTTATTCTCATTATAATTAAAATAACAGATTTATTTTTTAGCAATTATAAAAAAATGTACAACGAACGAACTACCTATCAATCAATCTCCTCGTTTTCTTATCTCATTTTCCATTCAATATTTTTCTTGTAATTTTAAAATTTAATATTCCTTTTTTTTTCTTTTTCACTTTCGATGATAATTAAAACCACTTACTTGGTATCTCTTGCATAGATCAAAAAATAATAATACCTTATATACTATTAATGCATGCTATGTGCTTACTGCCACAATCAAACGTGATTTTTGTTTATACTAATTTTTTTTTATAATAAATAAAAATACTTTTAAATATCCTTACATATTTTCATATATAAAAATAACACAAAAAATTACTATTAATAACAAGTTTTCTAGGAAAAAATAAATAAATTAATAATTATAATTTATATTTTATATATAATTAATTAATGATAAGATTTAACAATTTCTCTCGCTTGTTATGTTAGATTTTGATTATTAGTTGGGGTAATTGGAATTGCACCAATTCCTGTGGTGATGTTGAATAGTGCTGTATTTCCACCTGTTAAATCTGTAATTTTCCATGCTTTTAGTTTTTTAAAAAAAAAATAAAAAAAAATTAAATACTTTAGAAAATAAATTTTTTTAAAAAGAATTAAAAAAAAAAAATAATAACAATACTTACAAACAAGTATTATTACACCTAATATAAAGATTTCTAAACACATTATAAATGCTCCTGATTTTACTTTGTAAGGTTTAGGTTTTTTACTTGGTATTAAAGATTGCTGATCCGTAGATTTAGATAATGGAGATACTGGAGACTGGGGTTCGTTATTTTTTTCAATGTAAATTGATTTAATATCGCTATCATTATTAATATTATTGTCATTACTATCATTATTATTAATATCAATACTACTATTATCAATAACATTAGTTACATTATTATTATAAACACCTCTTGATGGTATTATGATCTTATTGCTATTATTGTCATTGTTGATGTTATTATCCCTTATTAGTAGTGGCGTTTCGCTGCTTTGTATTTGGGCAGTGTAAGCAGAAATTATATCAGGTGGAGACTCATATTTTGGAGAAGAAATTCTTGATGTATTACGAGTTAGCAGCACATTTGATAATTTAAGCCTATTATTTTCTGCTGTATTATTATCTAATTGAGTGTGTTGTGGTTGTGGATTGTTATTATAATCATTATTGCTAACGTTGATATTATTGTTAATATCTCCTGTAGTGATGAAATTATTTTGATTTTGATTTATTAAATTATTATTAGTGATAATATTAATATTGCTACTATAAATATTGTCATCTATGATACTGTTATTTTGGTAATTCAGTATTGAATGAGATTGAGAATTTTTTAATCCTACAATTTGATTCTGAACTTCTTCTAAAGGTGATAAATGAAGTGGTGAAGAGCGAGGTCTCTTATTTATGCTACCATAAGTATTTGACAAGGGAGGTTCACTTGATGATTTTTGATGAGGGTTATTTATCATTTCATTATCATTGTTATAGTGATCAGTATTATCAACAACACCTATAACATTTGGTAAATATTGTTCTTGAGATGCAAGATATTCTAAAAATTCAACTGGATTATACACACTAGATGTTGTCCTGATTATTGAGTCTCGTGGTGATTCATTAATAACATTATCATTACCATCACTATTACTAATTATGAATGTTATATTATGATTATCATTATTCTTACTATCTAGAACAACATCTTCGTTAGTTCCTTCATACTCTTTTTGGTATACTCTTTGCATCATTTGATATTTTTTTATGAAATAATATGATTATCTAATTTAATTGACATTTTTTTTTTTAAATAAAAAGTTTATTTAATAAAGCATAAAAAAAGTAAAATAATCATTAAAGAAATTATATAGTTTCGTCACCTTTTTTTTATTTGACTGGAGAAGCGAATAAGAAAATTATTCTCCTATTCTCAAAAAGTTCTATTGTTATTATTTATTTATATTTTTTTTTTTTTATTTAAAAAATGACAAATTGTATAAAAATATAAAAATATGAATAGAAAAAACATAAATATACATTTTAACTCTGAAAATCTAAATTTAGAAGGCGAACTTTTCAAAAAGTTTTATTATTATTTTTATTATTATTATATTAATGAAAAAATTTTTGGTGTTTCAATAAAAAAACCGAGCGCTTTTATTATTCCGGTAAAGATTTTCTTTGTTTCTTTGTTCAACAGCTCAAGAAGTAAAATTTCTTCTGGAACATGATTACTAAAATAGTGATATTTGTGTAAATTTCGGCAAAACAGACAGTACATTAATATATGTTTCATACAAGAATAAGGGCTAAATTAGGAAAAACTTTTATCAAACTTCATTATCAAATTATTAAAAAAATTTAAATTTCATTATCTTAACTAATTAATAATAAGAAGGGTGAAAAAGGAAAAATCAATATTATTAATAAGAATGTTATTTATTGATAATAATAATAATAAAAAGAATAACGAGAGTTGGATTTTTCGTCAGAATGCCCAAAGAATTGATAATACTCTTAATGAATGGCTCCCATGCAAGTGCTCCAACAAGGTTTTATTCAATTTTTCCTTTTTGTATGTCCCCGTCGTTACGATGTTTATATTTGATCATTATTATTATGTATTGATTGTTATGTTATTGAGCTGTATCACCAGTATTAATTATCCCTTAAAGGAAATATCACCAAGATGAAACTTTTAAGGAACAACTTTAATCAAGCTTTTCATCAAAGTGGTAGCGGAAAAATTTTAGTGGTAGAACTTCTAATCGGGTTGTATACAATGGCAAGTCACAGAGTTCTTTAATAATAATAAATCTAACATTATTATTGACCTTTGATAAATCTATTCTTCACAAGTATGCAAACGTTCTAATTGCCCTAGAAGCAACTATTTATTTTCCTTTCGTATGACCTTTTGGTATAAATAATTATCATTACAATAATAATAATTGCGATTAAATACCAACTATCTGGATAAAGTCTTCTTTCTCCACACCAACTCAACATTCTTTTTCCTCCATGATTGTATATATATATTCCAGGATTATTCCACGCAGCATTAAAATAATATCTAATAACTGTGATTGGCGTGGATATATAATCGCACGAACTTAAAATATTACATTGGGTATACGCCCTTTGATCTGCTAGGTCAATGGCGTCTTTTGAGATGAAAGGACTTAAAATTAAGAGATGCTTCTTCTATAGGCTCTCTGAAAACCAAACACAACCCCATAAAAAACTTTTTATGGAAAAACGGTACATTTACAGTATGTGGTTTTTTATAGGGCAGTTGCATTAAAATCCACTATTCTGAATTTTCCGTACTTAAGAACGTGATTTTTTCTGAAAAAAGGATTAATGTTTCAGAAATATAATCTTAAAAAGAAAACAATCAAAGAATCTCAAAGAGTTTATTTACCATTATTACCATTGTTTCAATGTTTACATCTCGAAACAGTAAAAACTAATACTAAGCCACAATATAAATATTTTATATAATCTGCGTGGATTGGGATTATCGACAAAAATGGGATTTTGCGTGGAATATACAATAAAAGATAAGGATATGGGGACAAATTTCAATTTTTTTTTGTCATTTTCCTGATATGCTTCCTTGAGAGATCGACTATCCAAAATCACAATAATTATCGATTTATTAAATATAAAAAAGCAGGAACAAAAATCTCTAAGCAGCAGTGACTTAATAAAAAAAAAAGCTTTGGAGGTTTGAAGTTTATTTATACATTGTCTAGATCTACATACAGTATTGGGGTGTCCCACATATTAATATGATTTACATAGTCGATCACATATATATAAATTTTTATTAAGGATGATTTTTCATCAATCTTTTTTTTAATAGTAAACTTTGAACGAAAATAACTCTTTAAAGAACAGAGGTACAGATTCCAAATTAAAGTTTATTAGAAGGATAGGGCAATGTCCCTATAGAGAGTTTTTTTTTAATTTTAATATAAATCATATTACTTATTTTAAGCTAAAAGAAAAAAGGAAAGTTATGTATATATGATACAAAATTTTATGCAAATAAAATTGTAAAAAGCTCTCTATACGGCTAAATAGCATCGAAATGCGAATCCAAACCATGTCATTTTATTTAGATACGTCGTATAGTTTAAGAGTTATTTCGATTTTTGATATATTTTGACTAAATTTTAGTGTTACATCTAAATTTTATAATTTCTATATAGTACTAGCCAAACAGCCGTTAAAAATATTATTATACAATTTCTCATAACTTCTTTATTTATATATAATAATAATTATTCTAATCAAAGTTGTGTTTGGTTATTATATCTTGAACTGCTAGTAAAATAATTTTTTAAAATTTTTTTGTGGTACCAAAAAAAGAATAATAAATCCGCAAAACCTCTAAAAAATCCTTATTATATATGTGATCGATCGACTATGTTTGTAAATCATATGATGTAGGACACCCCAATACAGTATTAGAATGTATCATGTATGTGGATCTGGGGCAAAATGAACCAATTGAGAATTCCTCTTCTAACATTATAATAATGGTATAAACTGCTTTTTTAAAAAAAAAGGTTTCATTATTAATAATTATAGATGGGTGTCTAAACTAAATTATTTAGACAATGCCTAAAATATAAATTAATCGTCTAAAATGCTGAAATTGAATAATTTACTGAACTTTGTGGATTTTGTATATACACATGACTTTTAGTTGTATTTAAAGCAAATCATCATTATTTATATTAATTTAGACATTTAAACATTTTTGTCTAAATACTATTTTGAACCCCAAAAACAATTTAGACGCCCATCTATAATAAAGGTAATTTTAAAAATAACACGCCTTTTTGTGTAACTCGATTATAATTATAGACACTATTACTATAGTAGTGATGGATAAATATTATCCGCTACTATGCAGCAGCACAAATCCTAATAAGACACTTGACTAAATTATTTAGGATTCCACCACGTAACACTATTATCCGATCGAATTTTGAGTTTCTGGAAATAAGTAATGTCGATGATTTAGTTTGTTTATCTGTTATGGTAGCAGTCAGTGTGTAAATTTCAGCGTGTAACTAGTACATGTGTCATTACAAGACCCCGGATTATTATTATTATTATTTAGAAAATTTGCCCATATATTAATATGACATATAACAACCATTGTAAAAGTTTGAAAGTGGCGTGATATTTTCATATTGACATTATTTCGTTCACTCTTTGTAACAATAATAAATTTGTCAATAATTTATTTAGTTCTTAAAATGGAAAGGCACTAAACTTTCTATATCAATTGCAATTTAACCCTTGCCTATTTTTCTATTTTAAAATTTTTGTTGCTCATGATTTCGGTATGACAAAAATTTCTTTGGATATTAATATGACTTGTAATAAATTTTTTTGCTATACCCAAAATAGTCACACCATTTATTAAAAAGTCTCATGTAACTTCCAGCAAAAGACGGAATTATAATAATCCGGGGGATCCTGCGAATACCGTGCCGAAAGTACGGAGATATTGACCATATTTTTAGACATTTTATTTTATCGATTAAAATGAAAATTGTTTATTTTAGCGAACATTAATTTTATTTGTTTCTCGATTTTTCAGTTAAGGAGAAAAAAATCTTGTTTGTTATTTGGTTTGTTATTTGATTTGTATTAAAGAATTTTAATTAACTTAAATTTCATAGTTAATTTTATGTCAACTAAATAAACAATTATTTATCGCGTTCCAACAAACTTGATTATAATTCGTTGAAATAATAAATATTATGAATAAATATAGTTTTAGTTTAGAAGTGGTTGAGAACTTCAGGGATTAAAATTTAGTAATGTGATTATTTAAATCTCCTATTTATTATACTTGTTTTTTTCCTAGGAACTACTCCTATATTAATATTAATATAATAATACGAAATTAATTTACATAAAACCTAAAAATTATGGTACAATCAGAGACATTTTAAAGAAGGAAAATGGTGAAACAATTGCTCCTTATATAATGATACTCGGATACTTAAGCTTGTCTAAGGAAAGAAAGGATTCTTATTAATATGTTTTTTCTTTTTAATTCTTTATACCTGCTATCATAACCAATAAATTTATCATCAAACTTTTCTTCTTTGTTCCTTGAAGCATTGTCTCATATTCTGCTGCTGCTTTTTCAATATCTTCATCAGCAATGAACGGTTTAACATGATAGATGTTTTTGATCCGGTAGTTTTTCTATTGGAAAGATATAGTCGGGAAAAATATAAGTTCTCTTAGGAAAATTATTCCTAAATATGGTAATTTACGTTTGACCGTCATCAATAAAAATTTCAATATTCTTTGTCGGTGATTAAGAAATAAATTTATCTTTTGTTTTTTATGAACTACAGTAAGTTCAAACTGCAAAAGGGAACTGACTATAGGCCCTTGCAACTTTGCGTTTTTTCCTGCCATATTGCCCTCATCAATTTTCCTATCCTGTGTATACATGCAGCCCAAACTATTATAACTTGACATGTCGTAATGACATAATGTCATAAATATATTTAGACATACATTTTCCAATTATTACAAGTCGTAATCTCATAATAATTAGGTCGTGATAATGTAAGGACGAGAAAACACTGGTCACATGTTCGCAATATGATTGGCCAGCACTTTGATAAAATTTCCAAGTCTAGAGACTTCCAAAATTTTAATAGAAGTCACTTTCTGTACTACCTTTTTAAAAAAATAGCCTCAT